GTCAAGGCAGGAAGAGGAGGCTCGACAGTAGCGGTATGTCGACACAGAGACTGGAACTATATTGGCAGGTCAGCATTGGTCATAGCAGGAGTTGATGATCCGATAACCCTAGAGGCTATTGCGTGCTGAGAGGCGCTCTCACTAGCCGAAAAAGATCTTCTTGTGCAGAATTTCATCGTAGCTTCGGACTCCAAGCAAGTTATTTCAGACATCACAAAGGGTTCTCGAGGTTGGGTATCATGTCTGGTTTGACCAACCTCATCTACCGAATTGTATCCCACTCCCACACTATGATTTTTGAGGAATAAAACTGGGCTTTACCCTAAAAAAGAGATGGAAGTACAACGACAACGCCTGACATGCACGACGTGCGAACGCACGAAGAGCACGAGCTGTTAAAGCTCCCGGGGAACCGGCTTTGGCAGTTAGCCACCTGAAGCCTGCAGCATTTGCGTATTCCATTTCCAACAGAGAGCTCTCAAGGTGAAGATGTCGACCACCACCGCGGCCGCGATGAGCATGAAGCTGCTGGTGGACACCAAGGCCGGGCGCGTGCTGTTCGCGGAGGCCGGCAAGGACGTTGTCGACTTCCTCTTCTCCCTCCTCGCCCTGCCTGTCGGCACGGCCGTCAAGCTGCTCGGGCCGGACTCAATGGTCGGGGGCGCCGGCGACCTCTACGCCAGCGTCCAGAAGCTCGACGGCTCCTACGTCCTGCCCGGGGCGAACACCGACGCGCTCCTATGCCCCGCCGTGCCCTCGCCGGCGGCGGTCCCCAGCATCTCCCTGTCCCTCCTCGGCCTGCCGAGCCCGTCGCCGGCTTTCTTCAGGTGCGGCTATTGTCACAGCCCGGGCTACGTGACGGAGGTGAGAGGCGCCAAGTGCCCCAGATGTGGCAACCATATGGCGGACGCGATCCAGTGCGTGCGGCCCGCGGCGACTCCGGGCAGGCCGCCGCCGGAGGGGCGAGAGGGTTCGTGCAGGGCGTGGTGACGTACACGGTGATGGACAACCTCGCCGTGACCCCCATGTCCGCCATCGCCAGCATCACCCTGCTCAACACCTTCGCCGTCAGGGGCCTCGGCGCGCTCCAGGAGATGACCGTGCGGATCGGCTACAAGGAGGTGAGTGGTGACCATTGTTGATCGACCATACCAATATGACACCATCTCTCTCACTTGGCCCGCACCGCACGATTGCTTATCGAGCATTAACCATTGTTGATTTGATGTGTAGGGTTTGGCGATTCTCAAGGCGGCGCTGCAGTCCAAGACTGTCCTCACCGACGTCTTCCTCGCCGGCTGCAAGACAGGTCCGGTGTACGACTGACTGACGCACCCAGGGGCATGGAGAGGAGAACTCGCCGCCGATCCATCTAGCTCCGGCCAGCTATCTATATCTATACTACTCTACTACTAGTAGATTAGCTTAATTAAGGGAGTGGCCTTCCATTTCCTGGTTGAATGTTGCAGAATTTAAGACTTGAATTACTAGTAGTACCGATGGAACGTTAATTTGTAGGAGGTGCGATTAATTATGCCCTGCTTTGGTTGCATTTTCAGTGGACGTAATGCGTTCTCCTGGGGAGCAAGGCCTGCTCTTAGGATTGGATATCATTTCTTCCTGTTTCAGGCAAAGTGTGCTTATTCCGGAATAGTATGGTTTTTTGAATAGTATAGTAGATCGGATTATCCAAAAGTCCGGAATAAGACAGGAAACAAAACATTGGAAAATGTCAATCGTACTCCGTATGTTTGGTGTAATCATAAACATTTTACAAAATTTGGGGGTTTCGGTGGAGGTTGAGAGTGATACGATGAATTTTATTTTGTCTCGAACTTAATTCGGGTTTAGGTTGTGGACGTTGGACCCATGAGGCCATCTACAACACAACGCTTAGAGCGGGCACAAGGGATACAAATCCTGGTCGTTTCGCTCGCAGGGAATGATTATCCTGGCGCTCGGCAGCAAGCGCAGCTTAACTTAACTTCTTTTTTCCTGAACGACAAGAGAAGAATTGTTGTGATTCCATTGAAGAAGAAGGGGAGGCCGATGTCCAAGTACAAAAAAGGTCCAAGACCCAACAGTCACAAAGACAATAAAAAGAGTGACACACGGGACACGGCGGTGAATCTGAGCTTTGCTCGAGAGCAGCACACCTAGCATTACGTAAGCTCAGCCTGACGTACACGGTTATTTAGGAGCTACATATTTAAAAATATACTATTAGATCAAAATATATTTTTAAAAATTTATGTATGTTCTTTTAAAAAGTTTAGTGTATATTTGAAAAAGTTCATTGTATATTATAAAAATATTCAATGTGTATTAAAAATGTTCATCTTGTACAAAAAATACAATATTCAGTGTATATTTGAAAAATGCTCATCAGGTACTAAACCACGTGTTGAAAAATGTTCACTATATATTATGATTTTCTATTCACAAAATGGTACATTTTTTTTAGAAAATGTGCAAAAAGGAAAAAGAATCAAAAAAATAAAAAATAAAAGGAAAGAACAAAAACGAACAAACAGAAACAGAAAACCAAACAAGAGAAAAAAAGAAAAATAGTGAACGAACAAAATAAAATAATAAAATAAAAGTGTGCGAAAACAACCGAAGCAGCGAACGACGAAATCACTAGTTGAGGAGTACTCGTAGCAAAGATCACTGCAACTCTCCTGGTTACGACAAGTGGCGCACATGCAGCGCGTCACTTGCCGTAACCTCGGAGTTTCCCTTTTTTTCGTAGATCCGTTTATTCAAAATGTTTTATCTCTCAAGCCGTGCGTCCAAATCTCGAACCGCTTTCATTATTGAATTCCTCGCGTCGAGATCTTTAAAACTAGATCCCATGTTGATAGATTTTGACGAACTTTTTTTCACAAAAAAAACGGACAAAAAAACCGAACCGGGAGCACGGGTTTTTTTCCTTTTCAAAAGAGGCACGCCCGTGCCTCTCTCAAAATCACAACCATGCCTCTCGCGAAAGCAAAATCGTAACTCTCGCGGAAAAAAAAAGAGAAAACACGTTTTTTTCGTTTCCGAGGAGGCACGGCCGTGACTTTCATGAAAGGAAAAAAAATAGAAAACACGTTTTTTTCGTTTCTGAGAGACACTGTCGTGACTCTCGCGAAAGCAAAACCGTGCTTCTCGCGAAACAAAACCGTGCATCTCACGAAAGAAAAAAAACAGAAAACACATTTTTTTCCCGTTTTCCGAGAGGCACGACTGTGACTCTCGCAAAAGCAAAACCGTGCCTCTCGCGGAAGCAAAACCGTGACTCCCGTGAAAGGAAAAAAAAGAAGAAAACGCATTTTTTGAACGATTCATGTGATTCACCGAAGCAATGAGACCTTGAAAACCAATTTTTCAACGATTTAAGTGAGGTCCATGTAGATCTAACTTTCTACTCACTCGTAGAATCCGGGTGGTCCGGGGTGGAGGGGGGAGGGCACCACATCTCCTCTTTTCTCGAGAATTCGTACATCCCTTATCAGTGTATGGAGAGCTATCTCTCGAGTATAGGTTGAGATTCGTCCTCAATAGGAAAATGGAGCGCCAACATGTACATATAAAACAATTCTGATGTATACTAAAAATGTTGAATTTATACGAAAAAACACAACTAACATGTGTTGAACAAAAACAAAGAAACCAACGCAAAAAAACCATTTGAAAATCGCAAAAGAAACAAAAAAAGAAAAAAAATAGTAAAGCCATGAAAGGAACGAATAAAATTGTGAAAGAAATGAAGAAAAGAAGGAGAAAAGAAAAGCAAAAAATCAAGGAAGAAACAAAAGAAAATCAAAAGAAAAAAGAAAAAAAAAGGAAAAAAAGAAAAAAAAGAACAAAACTACGTGGAAGTGAGCGAGCGAACAAAGCCGACGAATAAGCACCAAAGTTAATAGATCGGCCATATATGCAGGAGCCTTCACGCGAGACGAATGCTATACTCGCTATAAACGAGATATAGCATTTGGGGATGAAAGGAGCACTCATCGCTATAAGTTAGATATATGGGGCGTGTTTGGTCTGTGCCACAGGCCTCCTCGTGTTTGGTTGGATTGGGGACTAGAATTAATTCGCGTCCTCGAACCGAATATACCCTTGATACGTTGAACACACATGTTCCTCCAAAGCGGAGGAATCGCACGGAACGACCTCTAGTTGGGGGCTTTCACCCCTTTCCCTCGATAGTTCCCCTTATATCGTCTCTCCCTCTCCCATATACGCGTTGCCGCCGCTCCCTCACCTCCCGATCCCTATCGGAGTAGAGATTTACGGTCACCGGAGGAGCTCTGCCACCATCCTCCCCTCATCTCTTCCTCTCTCCCTCACTCCGATGTCTGGCGTCGTCACCGAAGGAGCTCGTTGTTCCCGTCGGTGCAGATGTGGCCGCCCTGGCCGTCACCTCCAGCCCCGGCTACCTATGCTCGCTTCGCCCGTGCAGGATATCGCCGCTGCGATGACCCGGGCACCTCCCACCTTCCCGTGCGCCGAGCCATCTCAATTCGGCCACTCCGGCCCTCGATTTGGACAACCCTCAAACGCCTTTCCACATCCGGCAACAAGTAAGAACGGCAACAACGATTGTGTTTGTGTTTGTGTTGGGTGAAAAAACAATTTTCTACATAAAAATGCGAGATGAACAATTCCATTCCATTTTATCTTTCCAACCCAAAGCTAGAATGTAACCATGCCATTTTTTTGAAACGAAACCGACAATTCTAATGAAACGGAACCATACCATGCCATTTCACTTTGTTCATGAGCCAAACACACCTCGTCACGGGCGCAAATAGGAGGGCGAGACGAAAAAAAAGAGCGGGAGCGAGCACGCTGCGCGCCGCCTGGCCATTCCCCGTCACCCTTTTCCGTCGCCACGTCTCCGTTTCGAAAAGTGTTTCGTCCCCAATCTCCTCCCCCTCTCTCGGACCCGTCGCGGCGCCGGCGAGCGAGAGATCCCCGCCGAGATTCCAGGCGCGACCCCCGCCGCGATGGCGAGAAGGTGGCAGGTCTGGGGCCGGCCCGACGGCAGCCAACTCTGGATCCCCGCCCCCGACCCCGACGCGCCGCCGCCGCCGCCCGCCGCGGCCCCGCCTCTTCCTCCGCCGGGGCGCGCCGCGGGGACAGCCGCCGCTTCATTTGAGGACGCGCAGGTCAAAGGTACGGCCCCATCGTTATCTCATTGGATTCCGTCGCAGAAATGGCGCTGGATACTGACGTGGCTGTCCCCTCTCCTGCATCCCCTCTCTTCGATCCGAAACCCTAGGCCGGGGCGCTGCTGACGGATGCCGCGTCGAGTCCATGGCCGACCTCCTCGTCCAAGGTAAGGCCCCCTCCCTTCACCTCTTCTACTTGGTCCTGTCAGTGTGAGCACGTGTGTGCTCTCATGTGTATACCGTCTCGGCGTTTGAACACAAATGCTTGTATTTAACTGGTGATTGGCCGGTTGTTACTGATGGAATCTGCAGCGCGGAACAAGCTGCTCGAAGGTGATGGGATGGCCGGAGCAACCGGGGATGCAGGAAAAGGCAAGCTGTTCTGCACTGGATCGGGGAGACCAGTGTCCCTCAGCGAGAGGGCTATAAGGAAGGCCAGGGCGTTGGTCGGGGAGGATGTGGAGAAGGCTGGTATTAAGAGAAGTAAGAGCTTATGTGTCCAACTTCTGGTTTGCTTTGGTCAAATTGTTCCATTGTCCGTTTCTGCATGTTTTGTGCTGGGCTGACCAGATTTTGCGTTTCAGAGCAATCATTTGGCGATGTACCTGATGTAGAGGGCGGATTGAGAGAAATGGGCGCCCCATTTAGAGGTAAGACTTGCTTTCACCTTTTTCTCTGTAGAGACAAGATTGAATGTTAGAGGGCAGGCCTGGCGCAGTGGTGAAGTCCTCCCCACTTGTGCCAAGAGGTCCTGGGTTCGAACCAGCCTCTCTGCATTGCACTTTGCAGGGGTAAGACTAGGTTCCTATAATCCCTCCCCAGACCCCACCTTGTGTGGGAGCTTCTATGCACTGGGTCTGTCCTGTCCTTAGAGACAAGATTGAATGTTGCAATAATAGCAACAAAGTGCCTAGTTTTGATAGCTGTATGATTTTTTTTTCTTTTCTCTTGAGGTTATGCATTACTATCAGTTTTCCATCTTATGAAATTTAGGTGGAACCATGCCCCCATTGTTCCAAACTGGGTCAGGAAAAGCGGTCTTGCCGGGCAGGAACTCAATCCAAAAGGCAAGAGCTATTTTAGAAGGTAGGAAGTTTAACACCTGTTTAGTTTTTCTATGTAAATGCTGGAAGTGCTTTGTTATCACTTTGTTCATGTTGACATGTATATGGCTCGGAGTAATCTAGGATTTGTTCACTCAGTGTACTGTTAGAAATTATGCCATAATTAATAATATAATATTTATTAAACTAGCAAGATTTTCCGCAGCTGCCTGACAATTTGTTATACTTACAAATGAAGATATATTTAGACGTGCTTAGCTTGTTGAGCCATTCTACTCCATAGTACTATACAGTGACTTAAAATAGTTTTATTTATACTAATTAGGGTCCATCAAATTGATGGCTGTATATTTTTTTTGTTTGTGAGAACTTCTGGTATATTTTCCAGTTTTTCTTAGCAGTTTTTTTTGGAAAGCTGTAACGTTTGTTGCACAATAGATGTTGATAGTGCTGCTGGTGCCGCACAACCAATGTTCCGTACTGGAATGGGTAGGGCGGTTCCTGTGAACCGGACCCTTATTGACAAGGCAAGAGCTGTTTTGGAGGGACAAACAGCTGTAGAACAAGGTCATTATGATGAGAGTATGATAAAAGTTTTGGATATTTTCTTAAAGATATAGATTCCAAGCATGCCTTAAATTTTTGAATAACCGACCCCTCTGTCAGCAGGTGTGGACGGCATGGAACAGTTTCCATTGTTCCAAACTGGTTCAGGAAGAGTTGTATCAGTCAGTTCAGCATCTGTTCAGAAAGCTAAGTCTGTGTTGAAGGATAATAATACAAGCAAGGGTGAGCTTTGCTTATTCTGCTATTTGAATTCGGAGCTAATGATCTTGCCTGCTTATGGTGAAATGCATGCCTTTCTTGGTGTACTGATGGCATTCCTCTCTTATTAGAAAATACAGAGAGTTTTGGTAGGCCTGACCATACAGAGAGTTTTGGTAGGCCTGACCAAACTGGTTCAAGAAGACCAGTCATGATCAGCGAAAGATCCATTGAGCGATCTATAGATGCGGTGAATGAGGGAGATGCGGAAAAGAGTGGTAAGATTGGAGTACCTGGGCCTTTTAAAAAAAGCTTGGACTATCTGTCTTTTGATTTATCCACACACATTATTTCTAAAGTGGTACTTCTTTGTGTAGGACATTGGGATACTGGTTGCCAGTTCCCAATGTTCCAAACAGGATTAGGGAAGCCTGTTGCTGTGAGCTGGAACTCAGTTCAGAAGGCAAGGGCAGTATTGGAGGAAGAAAAAATTAAAACAACTGGTACATAGACATATGGCCTTGTTATTTATTTGTGTAATGTTAATGCAGAAGATCAGCATTTTTTCTTTGTATTCTTTGAGATTCAGGACATGGAGATAGCAGTTTTTGCGCCACAACTCTTCAAAGTGAAACGCCAAGGTCTGTTTTGATGAGTAGCAGTTTGATCATGACTGATAGAAGTGTTACACCGAATGGAGATAGTGCAGTGCAAGGTACTTGACTTTCTCAAGTTGACTATGTCTGTGTTACTGACACATCTGGGGTGTTCCTCATATATCAAATAATCTTTTTCGGTCACTCGAATAGAGAAAAATCACGAGGATGGCAACCACTTGCCGTTGTTTCAAACTGGGTCAGGGAGGTCAATTGCTATAAGTAAGAGCTCATTTAAGAGGGCAACTGCAGTTCTGGAGCCAAGGAATATTACAAAGGAATTGGAAGGTAAATTGCTCTCTAAACACATGACATGGTTTCATAACAAGTGTGCTCTCTTGTCACTAAATTTGTGATAAATGTGCATTTATATTTACTGACAGTCAAATTTTTTGTCTGTAAGATGAAGCTCATTTAGATGGTGGCCATGATACTCCCATGTTCAAAACTGGATTAGGAAGGTCTAACTTAGCAAGTGATGGCTGTAGAACTGAATTGTGTATCTTAGAAGCTGAAGAAGCAGTCAAAAGTGGTACTTTCATTTTCCGAATTATAAGAGTTCCTGCACATGGGTCTAAAAAGTAGGTAGAAATAAACTTTTAAAGTCTGCACTGAGTTAACAATTGCTTTGTATGTGCAAACCAGTAAACAATTACAACAGAGAAGCCTTTGTTGAAGTGCCAGCGTTCCAAGCTGGGATACAAACGTTTGTACCCCAAAACAGAAGTTCAAGTCGTAAGGCCAGTATGCTTTTGGAGCAACGAAACTTCACGGAGAAAGGTAGTTTTTGGAATCATTCAGTTATATAGTGGAGGCATTTTACAGACTTTTTACATCTGGATCTCGAAAGTAACTTGAGACTCCTTTTCCCATTCCTTTGACATATGCAATATTATTTTGAAAGGATACAAAGACTCTGGAAGTCAACTGCCAATGTTTCGAACCGGATCTGGAAAGTCAGTCTTGATTAGTGAAAGCTCAGTGCAGAAAGCAAAGGCTGTTCTGGAGGAAGAGGTCAAAATAAACAGAGGTATAACAGCTGATCAAACTTTCTGAGACTTTCACTGATGCAGCCACTGCTACTTTATTTCAATAGAAGATGGTATAAAAGTTCAGCATGCATGTATAGTTGAAGTGTCTATTCTCAAACTAGTCCCGTAGTTCATTTGTACAATACCGCGCGGCCCATAGGTTAGCTAACCATCACAGTCTGTTATACCTCTGTTAGACTTTTGACGCAGCTGTTCATTGGTATACTGGTGTGCTAATCCCATGGTTCTGCAATGCTTTTCAGTAAACATTAGACCAAGTTAACAGAAGTAAAGCCTAGCAGTGAACCACCAATGTGTAACCTGATTATGTCGCAGCTTTCATTTAGAATGGTACACTTATTGCCTTTGACTTTCGAGGCAGCTGTTTAGCCTATACTGTCTAGAATGTATTATTCTTCAATCATATAATAAACAAATGTATGTTTTCAATAGTACCAAATTTCAAGCATACTAATATACAATGTATGATCACGGTGAGCTGTCTAGTGATCAAGTCAGGCATTGGAGTGGCATGTTGATGTGGCAACATGCACTTCTTTATTGCATAATATTACTGCATTTTAATTTGTACACATTTGCCATTTAAAGAGATCTGATCTTGCGTTATTGTTTCAGATAATCATAATCTCCTTAACATGGACAAAAATATTCCTGTCTTTGCTTCACCTCTCAAGACAAGCTGTGCAAGAACAGTTAATATATCTTCAGCTGGTGTATCTCGAGCTGCTACTTTGTTGGGCTTGGAGGAGAATACCCTTTCAACACAATTTTTTGGACATGTGGGCGATAAGCTTGGCACGAAAATAAAATTTGAACGGAAAAATCCAGAACAGAGGCTTGCATCTGGTCCAACAGAAAACCAAGTGCGTAAGGAACCACACCGGCCATTTGAACTTTCTAATAACACAGTTTCTGATTCTGGTGAACATTCTATCAGATTCAGTACCGCGGGAGGCAGATCAATGGCTATTTCTAGTGATGCACTTCAACGTGCGAGAAGCCTTCTGGGTGAATCAGATCACGTGGTTTCAACAAATAATTTAGTAGGCTGCTCTTTGGCATCTGCATGTAATGTTGAGATGCCAAATTCAACCGTCGCCCCAAAAGGTGGACCTGATTTATCAAAAATAAGTAGGGTCAATGGAAAAACCGAACTTACAACATTTTCCCACCAGGCAATGTCTGATAGGAAGCACACTGGATCCTTTGAAAATGCTGTACCTGTTATCCCGGCGACTAACAAACAACCCAATATGTTTCATGTTGGGAGTCGTTCAATCAGTGAAATTCCAAAGATCCCGAAGCCCTCTTCCATGTGTTTATCTGAAACTGACAATGCAAATGACACTAAAGATAAGACCCAGCGACTCCATATGCCAGCTGGAGCGTTGGTTGACATTAGTAACTTCATGGGCACACATTCTGGAAATATTGACCATGCTGTTAATGAGAAGAGAAGAATTGAGGGAAGAAACACTGCATCTTCCTTTAAACGCCCCCGCTCTTCCAGATAAATCCTTTGATTTGCATCCCTGTTAGCAGGCTGTAAACTCCTTGATGCCATGCTTTTGCTATGCCCTTGCTGTCAATGGTAGGTTCATCGCCTATACTGCAGGTGTCATATTTTATGTTTTATGTATTAGTGAATGAATCTCCTAATGTGTATCTTTGCTGCAGTGAGTTTGACACTGCATGTGTTTTGCATGCTGGCGACGTTTATTTATGCAGCAGCAAGGCAGTGGATCTTTTTTTTCAGACGGATCTAAAAGGAAGATGATTGTCTTCTAGCAGTAAGCTTTTCTTGCCCAACTGCCGGCGATGACTGCTTTTTAACCGTTACGCCCTTTCTGGAAATAGAGAAGGTTATCTCTCTTAAGGAAGCTTACCATGGAATAATGGGTGCTGCTGTTTCTGGAAGCAATGTAAGAAAATGTTGGAAGTTCTGCAGAGTTTACTGTCCTCACTGGATGCTCACTGGTAGTTGTTGAAATATGTATTGTATAGGGTGTTATAGCATGAGCGTGAGTTCGTATCCTGATCCGGTTAAGTTAGGCTTGATCTCCTCTGTACAGGCTGTAGTAAACGTCGAGATCAAAGCCCATAACGACTGGTTCGTAACTTCTGTAATCTCCTGGCCTTGAACCTTTTTATAACGTGCATGCATCCTTGCTGATAGCATACACTTCCACCTAGTTTTACATGGTAATCAGAGCCCTTTCTCTTCAACCTTCTGCTTTCAGCTAGGCGCATGCCTCCTTCGCTAGCATGTTTGACATTGCTGATCTCCTATAGCAGAAATATTTAGTTCATACATGTGAATTGTTTCCGCATTTGATTTGCAGGAAACTTTTGATTAGAATTGAATTGTTTATAGATCACACCAATTTTCTTGGGTTCATTATAAGATTTTAGTTCATTAACCTAGGCTACAATTGCTGCATGTTTTTTTACCAGTCTCCACACTGACAGCAAGTACACGAAACACGATCTTCTAATCTAATGCATTCTTCAAGTCCCTGCAAGCTAGCTAGCCGAACAAAAGGTACAGAGGTAGTGACGAAGATATGACAGCATGCTTTTGTTGACGTCTTCTTTTGTGGCAGGCGACTGGGCTTGCCCCATACGCACCGTCGATGGCGAGGGTTCAAGGACGTTCCCTGCAAAGACGATGGTGCCCGACTTCTCAATCACAAAGAAGGCAAAAGGATGGTCAGCAACAAAATCCACGGGAACCGGTCGCGGATGCTTGGGCGCGCTTTTGCCAACCATCATAGACGCGGTGACGGCTGCAGCCTCGGTACCGTCCTCATTCACCTCGATGACCGCCTTGTGGATGATCCCGTCGTCCTCCACCATGTCGGACATGTCCGCTTTCTTTTCGTCGAACGCCACCACGAGTCCCAACTCCCGGAGAATGCCAGACATGTCTTTTGAGAAGGCCAGCTTGAATCTAGGCAGCCTGAACTTCCTGACCGGGACAAGGCTCGTCGGAAGGTGTGAGCCGATGAAGCCTGGGCTCGACGCCATCATCTCGACGAGGGCATGGAGCCCGTCACGGGCGTCCGGGAGGAAGATGCACATTGAGAAGGGTGAAGGCCGCTTGCGTCCTTCCTGTTGGATTAATTATGCATCTCTAGGATACCATTAGCAGGAACTGATTGCATCTAGATCACCTAAAAGGCATGAACAGAGAAGGTTTAGGGAATCTTTACATGTCACCGCAGTGGACATGATCGCCTGCTCGATGCAGGCGTGATGTAGTCGAGGTAGCAGTCCTCCTCAACGTCCTGATGCCCTCAGGACGACATCGACACTGCCCGGGGACAGCGGCGGCGGCAGGCTTAGGTCTTCCCGTCGCTGCAGCACTCCCCCTGATCGGATGGGGTGAGAGAATATCGGGAGGAGAGTAAACCTTACGTGAATTGTGATCTCGCAGGTGGTCAGCTCTTCCCGTATCCTTTTAATATGGCGCTGGCGACAGGAGACCCAAAACCTGAGTTGGTTTTTGGGCTCCCCCGATCAGGGCGCGTTAGTTCTGATCGAGGCTCACGTACGTTGGTACGTGGACCCCTTCACTTATCGTTATCCCTTCATCCTTTTTTTTCTTCTGTTAGACTAATAGATCTAACGGGCCTGTTTAAGCCGTCAGATCAAAACCAACATTCTCCTCCTTGATCGGTAGGCTTAACTTTATTCGCCCATTCTACATAGGAATGATGTACCAAAGTGAGGTGTTATTACCGCTCGAAACGCCATGGAACCTCAACATTTATAGCACACCCGCCTATTTCGAAATGGAAAAACATTTTGCTAATTGGGGAGTGGTTCATTTTAATGGTCCTCTTATTCCAGAATTATAAGGCTTCCAGTAGTCCCATGCCGGCAACATGCTCACGAAAAATACTGAGTGGTAAGCCGGTAAGCCTTTTGTTAGCGGATCCGCAAGCATATGCTTCGTTCTTATGTGTTTAACATCAACTGTTTGATCCTGGATTCTATCTTTCACAACACGATACTTTATGTCAATGTGTCTGGCAGCATCACTTGACCTGTTGTTACTCGTATAGAAAATTGCAGGTTCATTATCGCAGTATAATAAAATTGGTTTAGATATGCTGTCAACCACTTTAAGTCCGGAAATAAAATTCTTTAACCATACAGCCTGCCCGGTGGCCTCATAACATACTACAAATTCTGCTTGCATCGTAGATCCAGCAGTTAAGGTTTGTTTGGAGCTTTTCCACGATATAGCTCCTCCCGCGAGTGTGAATATATAACCTGACGTGGATCTCTTACTATCCACACAACCGGCAAAATCAGAGTCTGAATAACCAGCAATTTCTAGGTTATCAGTTCTTTGTTATCGGTTCTTTTATATGTAAGCATGAAATCCTTAGTTCCTTGCATATAACGCAAGACTTTCTTTGCGGCCTTCCAGTGGTCCGGTCCTGGATTTGATTGGTATCTGCCAAGCATCCCGGTTACAAAACATAAATCTGGGCGTGTACACACTTGAGCATACATGATGCTTCCGACAGCTGAAGCATAAGGAACCGACTTCATCTGATCAGTTTCACATTGGTTCCTCGGACATTTAAATGTCCCAAACTTATCGCCCTTAACTATAGGAGCAGGTGAGGGTGAGCACTTATGCATATTGAATTTTTTCAGTACTCTCTCAAAGTATGCCTTTTGAGATAGTCCTAACGTTCCTCTGGACCTATCTCGATGAATCTCGATGCCGAGGACATACGAGGCTTCACCAAGATCTTTCATATCAAAACTGGATGATAGAAAATTCTTGGTCTCATGCAGCATATCCTTATCACTACATGCCAACAATATGTCATCAACGTATATGACTAAAAATGTGAACCTACTGCCTTTAAACTTAACGTATATGCAGTTGTCCACAACATTTTCGATGAAACCAAAAGTTTTGATAATTGTATCAAACTTGAGGTACCACTCTCTTGAAGCTTGCTTCAAGCCATAAATCGATTTCTTTAGACGACATGCCAAATGTTCCTTCCCTTCCACAACAAAGTCTTCTGGCTGAGCCATGTAAACGTTTTCTTTTAAGTCACCATTTAGAAATGCCGTTTAACATCCATTTGGTGTAGTTCTAGGTCGTAATGAGCTACTAATGACATTATGATTCTGAAAGAATCCTTGGTTGACACAGGAGAGAAGGTTTGCTTATAATCAATGCCTTCTCTCTGTGTATACCCTTTTGCCACTAGCCTTGCCTTGAACCGTTCGACATTCCCTTTGGAATCATACTTGGTTTTGTAGACCCACTTGCAACCTACTTTCTTAGCTTCATCGGGAACTTCTACTAAGTCCCATACGTCGTTTGAGCCCATAGATTTCAACTCGTCTTCCATGGCAACCAACCATTTGGACGAATTTTCGCTTTTAATGGCCTCCTTATAAGAGGTTGGATCCTCCACCTTTCCCAGATCATTCATATCCTCAATCATGAAGGTGATATAGTCGTCTGATATGGCTTTCTTCCTCTCACGCCGTGGTCTACCCACAGGAGGAGGTGGTGGTGGTACATCATCATTTTGTGAATCATTATTTTCCTAGTGGTCCTCATTTGTGTCTGGATTTTCATTATTAGTCTCCGGATCACCATTTGACTGAGAAACTGAACCATGAGATTCAGGATCATCAGTTGTCACATTTCTTCGTATTGGAAAAACAATCTCTTGGATAATCGGGGATGGCGCACAAACCCGCTTCTCCTCAAGATCGATCTCCCTTAACTTAGTGACCTTATTATCCTCAAAAAATACCGCTTGTCTAGTCTCCACAAACTTGGTGGTATGATTTGGACAATAAAAACGATATCCCTTTCCCCTATGAGGGTATCCAACGAAGAAACAACTAACTGTTTTTGGATCCAATTTCTTAAGTTGTGGATTGAAACCTTTAGCTTCAGCAGGGCAACCCCACACTCGTAAGTAATTCAAGCTCGGTTTCTTTCCCACCCACATCTCGTAAGGTGTGTTCGGTGCTGACTTAGTTGGAGCAAGATTTAGTATGTGTGCAGCTGTCTTTAATGCCTCTATCCAAAGGCTTACTGGTAAACTAGAGTGATTAAGCATGCTTCGCACCATATCCATAAGGGTGCGGTTGCGACGCTCGGCCACACCATTTTGTTGTGGTTCACCAGGCATTGAGTATTGAGCAATGATTCCATTTTCAGATAAGAACTTGGCAAAAGGTCCAGGAATCTGCCCATAAGGAGCATGCCTACCATAATACTCTCCCCCGCGATCAGACCATACAACTTTGATTTTCGCGTTCAGTTGATTTTCAACCTCCGCTTTATAGACTTTGAATTTCTCCAAAGCTTCCGATCGGTCACGTATGGGATAAATATATCCATAGCGGGAAAAGTCGTCTGTGAATGTAATGAATGAATCAAAACCATCTACAGACTTAACATTAAGGGGTCCACATATGTCGGTGTGAATTAATTCTAAAACCCCTGTGGCTCTTCTGC